GATCTTAATGGAATTGCTTTCAGCTTTTCGCCATTGAGAATGATACTGGCTGTTGGCTTGTCATAGATGGCCTTTATGATGTTGAGGTATGTTCCTTGTATCCCAAGAATTTCAAGGGCTTTTATCATGAATGGGTGTTGCACTTTGTCGAAAGCTTTCTCAGCATCTATTGATATTATCATATGGTTTTTATATTTCTTTTTGTTGATGTGTTGGATAACGTTGATTGATTTTCGGATGTTAAACCATCCTTGTGCCCCTGGAATGAATCCAACTTGGTCGTGGTGAATTATCTTATGGATACATTGTTGGATTCTGATAGCTAAAATTTTATTGAGGATTTTTGCATCAGTGTTCATTAGGGAGATTGGCCTATAGTTTTCCTTTTTTGTGTTGTCCTTATTCGGTTTTGGTATTAGTGTAATATTGGCTTCATAGAACGTGTTTGGTATTGTCCCTTCCTTCTCAATTTTTTGGAAGAGTTTGTGAAGGATAGGCACTAATTCGTCTCTGAATGTTTGGTAGAATTCATTTGTAAATCCATCAGGTCCTGGGCTTTTGTTTTTGGGGAGGTTTTTAATTACCATTTCAATTTCACTGCTTGTAATTGGTCTGTTTAGGTGTTCTATTTCTTCTTTATCTAGCTTTGGGTGATTGTAGAGTTGTAGGAATTTGTCCATCTCCTCTAGATTGTTGAACTTGTTTCCATATAACTGTTCATAGTAGTTACTGATTATTCTTTTGATTTCTGCTGTGTCCGTTGTGATTTCTCCTCTTTCATTTATGATCCTGTGTATTTGTGCTTTCTCCCTTTTTTCCTTTGTGAGCCTGGCTAGGGGTTTGTCTATTTTATTTATTTTTTCAAAGAACCAGCTCTTGGTTTCATTGATCTTTTGGATTGTTTTTTTAGTTTCAATTTCATTTATTTCTGCTTTGGTTTTTATTATTTCTTTTCTTCTACTGGTTCTGGGGTTTTTTTGTTGTTCTTTTTCTAGATCTTTGAGCTTCGAGATTAGGTTGTTTCTTTGAGTTCTTTCTTGTTTTTTGATGTGAGCTTCTATTGCTATATATTTTCCTCTTATTACTGCTTTTGCTGCATCCCATACATTTAGGATATTGGTGTCCTCCTTGTCATTCAATTCAAAGAATTTTTTAATTTCTTCTTTGATCTCCTCGTTAGTCCAGTGGTCTTCCAGTAGTGTGGCTTTTAGTCTCCATGAGGTAGGATAGTTCCTTGCCTTCTTTTTATGATTTATTTCTAGTTTGATGCCTTCGTGGTCAGAAAAGATGGTTGGTATGATTTCAATCTTGGTGTATCTGTTGATGTTTGTCTTGTGCCCCAGTATGTGATCGATCCTGGAGAATGATCCGTGTGCGCTTGAGAAAAATGTGTACTCCGTTTTTTTTGGGTTTAGTGTTCTATAGATGTCTGTTAAGCCCAAATGCTCTAGGTCCTTATTTAGAGCTTTAGTTTCTTTACTTATTTTTTGTCTTGTTGATCTATCCATTGTTGATAGTGGTGTGTTGAAGTCTCCCACTACATATGTGTTTTCTCTGATGTCTGTTTTCAGAGAGGACAACAGTTGTCTGATATATTTTGGTGCTCTTTCGTTTGGTGAGTATATGTTAATGAGTGTTATTTCTTCTTGAAGTATTGTCCCCTTAATCATAATGTAGTGACCATTGGGGTCTCTTTTTATTTTTTTGAGTTTGAAGTCTGTTTTATCTGATATAAGTATAGCTGTTCCTGCTTTCTTTTTTGGCCCATTTGCTTGTAGGATTGTTTTCCATCCTTTGACTTTGAGCCTATTTTATCTTTTGTAGCTAAATGTGTTTCCTGGAGACAGCAAAAGGTTGGGTTTTGTTTCTTAATCCAGGCTGCAACTCTGTGTCTTTTTATTGAAGAGTTTAGTCCATTTACATTTAGAGTTAATATTGATATGTTAGCATCTGTATTTGCCATTATGTTTGTCTTTCCTTTGATTTTATTTATTTATTCTTTTAATAACTTTTTTTTTTTTTTGGTCTTCTTTCGTTGTTATTCGTCCCTCTGAGGTTCTGGCTTTAGGATTCCTTGTAGTATTTTTTGGAGTGGGGGTTTAGTCGCAATGAAATTCCGGAGTTTCTCTTTGTCTGGGAAGGTCCATATTCTTTCTTCATGGAGGAAAGAGAGCTTTGCGGGATAGAGTATTCTTGGTTGGCATCTGTTTTCTTGGAGTCTGTTGACTATGTCCCTCCACTCTCTCCTTGCCCGTAGTGTTTCTTCAGAGAAGTCTGATGTCAGCCTGATTGGTTTTCCTTTGAATGTTATCTGTTTCTTCCCTCTTGTCAGCTTCATTATTTTTTCCTTGTCCTGGATTCTTGGGAGCTTTACTATTATGTGTCTTGCTGTGTTTTTCCTTTCGTCGTGGAAGTTTGGTGTTCTTCTTGCTTCTTGTATATCAATTTTCAGCTCCTTCTTCTCATTTGGGAAGTTCTCTTCAATTATATCCATGAATATTTTCTCTGTTCCTACATCTCTCTCCTCTCCTTCTGGAATTCCTATAACTCTTATATTTCCTTTCCTCATGGAGTCAGATAGTTCCCGAAGTCTTTCTTCATTCTTTTTCCTTCGTACTTCTCTTTCCTTTTCTGTTTTGGTTCTTTTTATTTCTGTGTCTTCAAGATTACTTATTCGTTCTTCCATTTCATCTATTCTGCTTTCATTGCTTTTCCCAGAGTTCTTTAGTTCCTCCATTAATTCTTTGATCTCCTGCATTTCTCTTACTTCCCTCTTTAGGGACTCAATTTCCTTCTTCTGATCTATCACTTTTTTAATCATGGCAATTTTAAATTCTCTTTCTGGAAGGCTCAGAAGTTCTTCCAAGTTGCTGTCGTTGCAATCTGGGGAGTGGTTTTCTTTTTGTGGTGTGCTTCTTTCCTGAGGAGTTTTTAGGTTGCGTGTGGTTCTTCTACTCCCTACTGTCTGTTTTCTAATTTGTCGTATGCGTTGGGACACTGTGTTGCTCGGACTGACTGACATCTTGGGTGAACTTCTCCGCTCCCCTCTGGCTCTTCCAGGAGCCATCTCTGTCTTCTGGGGGAGCTTTCTGCTGGTTTTAGGCAGTTTTTACTGAAGAAATGTCCCTGTTCTCAAATGGCGAAGCGGGATGCAGTCCCTGCGCCTCCGGTTTCAGGCACACTCTTCTGCGCACCCGGTCTGCCCCGGACGTGGGTGCCTGCTCCCTCTGTGGGCTCAGACTGCTGGTCGGAAGGGGCCTGGCGTGGAATAACTTCCCGGCTGGCCACTGGGTCCTCCAGAAACCTTCTGCCCTTTTCAAGCAGTCTTAAGAAATGTCCTGTTTTATAGGGTGTTAGTGACTTTTTTTTCCTGGTCGCTAGGTGGCGCCAGAGATCTCTCCTATTGTCCTTGGGGGGCTGTTTTTCGCCTCCCCCCACCCCGTGGGACAGAGAACAGAGCGGGAATGGTAGGGTACACCTCAACAGCTTTGGGGTGCTGTGTCTGCCTTGTGCCCCACCGTCGTGGAGAACCCACGCCCCGAATTTTCGTGCCCCGGGTCTCAGTTCAAAGCCCTCAGTTCCAGGACGCGGGCTGTAGCCCAGTTCAGTGGCGCGGGAATGGCGCCTTTTGCGCAGCTCCCGTGCCTGGGCGCCTGGTTCCTGCTCACTCAGGGAGGGACCTTCACCTCAGTGAGGACCTCCGTGTGTCTCCCCGCAAGCCTAGGTCGTCTCCCCGCAAGCCTAGGTCGCAGGCGCGGGGACCTGGGCAGCCGCGATCCAGGTCTGCACTTGCTTTTCAAGCTCCCCGAGCGCGCCGCGTTCCCGCGCCAGCTTACCGGCAGCCCGGGCTGTGTGCGCGTCTCCCGGGGTCTTTGTTCTTCTCTAATGGCGCCCGGAGCCGTTCGCTCACCGCCGCGGCGAATCCTGCAGGGTTCGCCTCAGCTCCCGTTCACGGGGTGTGGTGGCTGCAATAGTTCCTTTCCGCTCACAGTCCCGCTTGCTGTGTCGTTTGTTCTTGTGGGCCGTTTTGGTTTGTTGTTTCCTCCTCTCTGCCGGTCGGAGAGTGCCGCCTCTGTGGGCGGGGGAGGGGAGCAGGGTTCTGCGCTTCCCTCCCTTCTGGTCCTCTTTTATGGCCACTTTCTTCTTTGGGCAGTTCGCTGGCGTCACCCGTTTATCTTCCGTGTCCCACTTCTCACTGGGACCTGCCGCTTTTCCTCCCTATTCACTTTTTTTAATGGGAGATCTTACTCGCAGCGTCTCCTCGCCGCCATGTTGCTCCGCCCCCTCTCTGTTGTTGTTCTTTACTCCTCTTGAAGAATTTTCCCTGAGGTAAGAATTTAAAGCTTAGTCTGTTAGATTTTTGCCTACCCTGGGTCTCCCCTGGGTCTCCTGATTCATAAACACTTAGGTTTGCTATAAAACCTATCTGTGTTTTCACTTCCTTGGGTTTGCCAAAGAAAAATGAAATATACTTGTCTATTATTTGGTTGTCTGTAAGTCATTCAGACCTATTGGTGTAAGAATCTCTTTCATAGATTACAACTGTATTGAGGGAAGGCTTGTTTTTCATTTCATTCTAGCAAGATTCAAAGTACTGAAAAATTAAGCCATCATTTCAACCTACAAAATTGGTTCAGTATAATGTATTTAGGATATGCCAACAAACATTTCTTTGTTGGAACGTCTACATTCCCTAAATAGTCCTAAAAAACAAAGTGATTTCAAGTACCAACTCTTCTGTCTCTACCCTATCTTAATTTCCATCTGTAACCAGTGGCCTCTGATAACCAAGTGTGATAAGAAGAATACATCCCATCCCCAAAATACCTACATCGTAACCCCAAAACTGGGTTATGTTACCTTATATATCGAAAGAGATTTTGCAGATGTGATTAAGAATATTGATAAGGATATGTATGCTATGATTACATTAAGGAGATCATTTCTGTATTATTTGAGTGGGCCCAATGCAATTCTAAGGGTTTTTTTTTTTTTTAAAGAGAGAGCAGAAGAACAAATGAGTAGCAAGAAATGTGGCAATGGCAGCAAGAGGTTGGTCTGATACAAAGAAGAGGCCATGATCCAAGAATCCTGGTACCCTCTGAAACCAGGAGGAAAAAATCAAGAAATAGATTCTTCCTTGAAGCATCCAAATGCCTTGATTTTGAGACTTCTCACCTCCAGAACTGTAAGAGAATAAGTTTGTTTGTTTGTTTGTTTTTAAGCACTGTGTGGTAATTTGTTATAATAATAATAGATAACCAGCATACAAGTTTGGGCAATACGTTAGTCATCTGAGCAATTATTTCTTTTTTTTTTTTTTTTTGTGGACCCTTGCCAGGTGGCCGGGCAACAAACTGGCGCTGCAGCCTTGCAAGTAGCCTTGCAACCCAGCGCTCAACCGCTGCGCCACCAGGGAAGGACCATCTGAGCAATTATTTCTTTATGTGACCTATCCAGAGCAGTGGGCTAGGGAAGAATAAAGCCACACATTGGACTAGATCACTGACTTCAATATCTTTAGTCCACACTCCTCAGTTACGGTGCCACTTAGAAAAAGGCATGAACACATTTGGTACATCTCAACCTTAGAGAGACAGAGAGAGAGAGGGGGTGGGGGGGAGAGAGAGAGTATAAAGAGGTTTATTTTAAGGAACTGATTCACATGATTGACAAATGTAAAATCTGATGAGGGAGACTGGCAGGCTGGAGTTTCAGGAAAGAGCTGCGGTTCAAGCCCAAAAGCAGTGTGCTAGAAAACAAAGAAGAGTAGATGCTGCCAAAGAAGCCTGAAGTTTGTGTGTTAGGAGGTTAGTCTTTTGTTCTATTCAGGCTTTCAACTTATTGGATGAGACCTCTCCCACCCACCCACCCACCCACACACACACACACACACACACACACACACACGCGCGCGCACGCGTGCACACACACACACACATTATATAGGGTAATTTGCTTTATTTATTCTACCAATTCAAATGTAAATCTTATTCCAAAACAGCCTTAAAGAAACATCCAGAATAAAATTTGACCAAATATCTGGGCAGAGTTAAGTTGACACATAAATATAATCATTACAAGGCATCTGCATTCACCAAGTGGCCAAAACTTGAAAAAACGAAGTTTTTTTTTTAACTCCTCATTTCACTCTGTGCTATAGCTAGTTCAGTGGAAAGGCCCTATACAAAACATATGTCCAGGGCTTCCCTGGTGGCACAGGTGGTTGAGCGCTGCACTGTGAAGTTGTCTGAGCCTTTGCAGTGAGGGTTCAATCCCGGCTGGTGGGCGAGAAGCCCACATGGCAAAGTAGGCCTCTCCTGTCTGCCTGTTCTGTTCCCTGCTCTGTCTCCAGTGAATCCTCTCACCCTCCCGCACATCAAATCTTTAAAAAAAAACCAAAAAAGTCCATCTACAAGAAACGAAATTATTCAAGAAAAATAAGTAACCAGAATGTATCATATAACAGAGGTGTGTAGTTCCTTTTCCCTGCTTCCGCACAAGTCAGCATCCCCAAAGCAGTTTATCTTTACAGAGCCCGCACCCTGCTATCAAATCTGGAAGCCATCCTCCATACTCTTGTTAGGGGAAGGGCATCATCATTCACAATGAACTCCCTTCCAATGGCAGGAAGCTTGACTTTTCTGGTTTTCTTTACTATTCTCTCTCTTCCCTCCCCTATCACTATATTCTTATCTTCTTCCTCCACTTTTCTAACTCTTTATCCTTTTGTGAACAGGTGCTATTCGACTCTTTCTCCAACTCCTGGCAACAATGCTGAAGGGAGAAAAAGGGAGCAAGAGATCAAGAAGCAAAGCAAATCAGTGAATTTGTGAGTGTGTGTGTGTAATGTGTGACTGTGATGTGACTGTTTAGAAACTGTATTTGAGGTGCTTTTATTTAGGTAGTCTAGGTATGTGAGCAGCAGTGGCGGGAATAAAATTGGGTGGGATGAACTTATGGTTGTATAAAAGTATGTTTTAAGTGAATAAAAGCAAAGTTAGCCTTTATTTGAAATTGAGCGATTAAATTCCCACCATGTATGACAAGTTCACATTGTCAGGAATACTGAAAAGAGTCACCTGGGGCCTCTGCTCTGAAGGTTTGCATCTCAACAGATCTTTGTATGGTTCAGAACCTACTCACTTACCCTGCACAGTTGAGCATGAATCCTATAGTCACCCTACATAAGGTTCTCTGGGTTTTCTGAATGTCAGTCTGGCCAGCCTGAAAGTAAAGAGAGTAAGCTCCCATAGGGCAGTACCAGGCCTCTAACTCCCTGTTTGACCCGGAGCACCTGGTTCCATGTTGAGTACAGAAAGTGGTTCAAGTTGACAAAAATCTCCTGACTTGACACGACAACATAATCTCTCCCAGACTGTGTCAATGTCCTAAAGACTAGTTTTTCATCTGGCTTATTTCATGGTACAAGCTTTATTACACAAATGCTAATAAAAGAAAACCAGCTTCATGCAGCTGCTGGTAGTTTCCCTTTGCAGTGTGTCCAACAGAATCCCATAGCACCTTGGCCTGTGGCTGACAACATTTTTTGACAATTTTTGACAAATGTTGGATAACAATTCTGGATGTTTATAATGATAGAACCACAGAGTAGATCTCTCCTCGCTTCTCCAATTGGTGCAACACAGGGAAGCCCATCCCCCCTTCTTGGAGCCAGGAAGTCACTCAGGCACTCCCCTTGGGTTCCTTCTCATCAGAGCTGGCACATGATTCCACTGCTAAATCAGCATTGGTTTGATAAATAGGGCACAATGCTTTGATATCGTCAATGCTACTAACCAGGTTTCTACGTGTTTACAATACGAGTACTTTATGGGCACTTCTTAGTAGAATGCATTTTAGGGTAAGCCATGGTCCCTTTTAATCTCCACCCTAACATTCTCAGTCCTCTTAAAATCACTATCTGGTAAAATGATTAGCAGAGAATAAGGTGAAATTGCAAGGTTTGGATTGCAATGATTCAAAGAGCAACAAAAGAGCTTACTTAGTGGGAGAAAAACTTTCCTGGAAAGGGTCAGAATTGTACAATATCCCCATTCTAATTCTTTGGGGGTCCATGAAATGATTCAGAGCCTTGCTGACAAATGTAGGAACTCTTCAAAGTCTGGGGAGTAAAATATTGATTTATAATGAATCTTCCCCTTTTGGTTAGTGTGGAGCCTATAACCTGCTTCCAGAGGCAGGATCCAGGCTTTATTGTTCATTTTCACCATAATAGAAATGGAAAATCTTAAGACATTGATCTGATGGCAAAAAAACAGCTTGTGGCACTCACAGAGCCAGCCATCAGCACAGGGACACCTTTTACTCTTTGCTGTGTGGAAAGAGCTTTACTCCAATGAAACAGATGATTTCTAGTGCAGGGTAACATTGTAAAAATAATGTGTACTCTAGATTGTTTTTCTTTTGGTTTATAAAGATCCCTCAGTTTCTTATTTGTAATAAACATCTATGAGCTGACCATAAAATATGTATTTCTCAGTCTGAGGTCAGGAACTTATTTGTTTTATTTTTTTTAAAGATTCACTTATTTATGCATATAAGAGCTGGGTTACAGGCCAGAGATGTGGGGGGTGAGAGGACTCACCAGAGACAGAGTGGGGAACAGAAGAGGCAGATTGACCGAAGTACACTGCTGAGGGGAGCAGCAGGAGAGTCAGGAGAGGTCTGCTGTGCCATGTGGGTTGCTCCCTGACCGGCCAGGGATCGAACTCGTGCTGCAGAGGCTGCGGATTGCTTCATAGTGTGGTGCTTAACCTCTTGCACCACCAGGGAAGCCCCAGTCAGGAACTTATTTGAAAGATCAGGGAGATCTGAAATCCTTGGTGGAAACTAGAGCAACAAAACTCAAAAAAATACCTTTGACAAGCAGTGCCTTTGTTTAGGGAAGGTGAGCAAAGCTTTTACATTTCTATCTTTCTAAAACAGAGAAATGAGGAAGGTAACCTAAAGGAACAAAGGGAGAAATCTGACAGAAAGATGAAGCTCTTCATGTGTTCAGTTTTCCTAGACCTGCCTTACCTACATTCGTGCATTTAGTCATCACAAGAGGGGGGAGGCATTTGTTACCTTCCACCAGTCACTTCCCTTACACTTCTTCCCTCCAGTCAAAGCCCGTATCATGTGACAAAATATTAAAGTGCTAGATACATTGGTAAGGGACCCAGTTCTATGGGACATAAGAGAAAGTTTGTTAGGGGACAATAACCCTGCCCCGTCGGCTAGATATCAATGCACTTGTATGAGGACATGATGTCTGAGCTGTAGAGGTCATCCTGCAAACAAGAAGTGAAAAATCTGAGGGCCAAAAGTTTTCATACTTAGGATATTGGAATGGAGGATGGAAGGAACTTGATTCTTCATAGCATTATTGAGACCGCTCATTCATCTCTAGGACCACTTACCTCTATAGGTCTTTCTGTGTGAGATATTGAACCCCCTTATTATTTTGGTCACATTAACTGAGCAGTCTATTACTTGCAGTTAAAGTATCCTAATAGATAAAATATGAGTATTTCCTGTTCCTCTACTAGATGTGTTTCATCTAACAGACCAGTAAATTAACTCCCTAGCCACTATAGTGGATACAAAAAAAAAAAAACAACAATGCTTTATAAACTGTGGGGAATCATCTCTTGTGCATTCCTATAGTTTTTCACTTAATACATTTCTTCCTCACTGTCCCATCCACTGTGTGGATGATAATGGGTAACAGACCGTGGAATGACCATGTACTACAGTTGGTAACCTTACTTCTTATTTCTTGTGACCCAGTGGCTAAAAGATTGATCCCAATCTTAAACCATTAGCCTTATAGTTTGACTAACACTCTTTCCTGCAGGCTGGTGGACGTTCAAAGGCTAATACTCTGAGGCTGATAAAATATGCAAATCTACAGGAGAATCTTTAGGAGAATTCTGCAGAACAAGAAAAATGTTGCTCAGAAGGGTTGCTAGCAAAGTTATCAATTACACTTAAGTTTCTGCTGAAAAGACATGCTATATACTATTTGACATCTCAAAAAGACAAAAGTATAGCAATGCAGAGTAGTAGTTACTGGGAATTCAAGGTAGAGGGGTATGCCAATAGTAATAGCATGCAGTTTTTTAGGGTGACAGAACTGCTCTGTATCCAATTGTGGTGGTAGCTATATGAATCCATATATGTGTTTATTCATAGAACTGTAATGAGAAAATAAATTTTACTGTATGATAATTTAACACTTAACAAATAATTTATATGCCCAAAACTTTTTTTCCTTCAATTGTTAGCAAGAAAGAATAGGATGCTATAGTTAGTCATTGCTGTGCTAAAGAAGCCAGCTCAAGAATACAAAATATCTAAACCTGACTGCTAAAATTGACAACCATGATTGCCTTCACCAAGAAGTATGAGATAGAACAGAGTTTTGGGAAATAGAGCTAATTTCTTTTTTTTTTAAAGATTGATTTATTCATACAAGAAGTGGGGTACAGGCCAGAGGTGTGGGGGGGGTGAGAAGAGTCACCAGAGACAGAGTGGGGGGCAGAACAGGCAGATCAACCGAAATACACTGCTGAGGGGAGCAGCAGGCAAGTCAGGAGAGGTCTGCTGCACCAGGTGGGTCAGCTCCCTGGCTGGGGATTAAACTCCTGCTGCAGTGGCTGCTGACAAGTTCATAGTACTGAGAGTTAACCCCTTGCGCCACAAGGGAGGCCCCATAAAGCTAATTTCTTAATTGTTAAAGCCTCTCCCAGTATCTTTTGGGCTCAGAATCAGAGTCATTTTCCCACTTACAAAACCTCAGGTCTGTGATCTCAAAAACGCATTTCACAAAATTCTATTCCCTTCACAATAAAAAACATTCATCCAACTAGGAAGAGAAATAAATTACTTCAACATAGGCCATATATAAAACAATCATAGCTAACATCAAACTAAAAGGTGAAAGAATGAAAACTTTTCCTCTAAGATGAAAAATATGATAAGGCTTGCCCACTTTAAATACTTACATTCAACATAGTAATAGAAGTGCAATTCAGAGCAATTAGGAAAGAAAATGAAATAAAAGGTATCCAAATTGGAAAGGAAGAAATAAAATTATGTCTGTAAATGACAAGATCTTATATATGGGAAAAAGATTACACAGACTGTTAGAACAAATAAGAGACATCAGTCAACTTCAGGATACAAAGTCAACACACAAAAATCAGGTTTTTTTCTACACACAATGAACAATCCAAGAGGAGGTAAGAAAGCCAATTTACAACAGCATCAAAGAGAATAACATATTTCAGAATAAACTTAAACAAGAAGGTGAAAGACACACACATAGAAAATTATAACTGTTGCTTAAAGAAACTTTGGAAGACAGCAATAATGAAAATTCATTCTATGTTTATAGGTTAGAAGGCTTAATATTATTAAGATGTCCTCCCCAAAGTGATGTAAAGTGATCCCATCCCAAAGTGATGTAAAGATGTAATGTGATCCCATCAAAATGCAATGACATTTTTAACAGAGATAGAAAAGCCCATCTAAGGTGCATAAGAAGTCTCAAGGGACTCTGAATAGTCAAAACAATCTTAAAAAGAACAAAGTTGTAGGTTTCACATTCCTGATTTTAAAGCTTACTAAAATGCTATGGCAATTAAAACAGTGCAGTTACTGATAGAAAGATAGATACATAGGCCAATGGAATAGGATGGAGAACCCAGAAATAAACCCTCTCATAATTTCCAAGAGAGTGCCAAGTTCATTCATTAAAGAATAGTCTTTTCACAGTAGTGCTGGGAAAACTGGATCTCCACATGCAAATAATGAAATGGACAT